GTCTTTAGATGAATCAACACTTCCCGTTCTTGTATCTGTTGGCGGCACCTCGTCCTTTGCTGTATCAATTCGGAATGTGTCCTTGATTCCTTGGACTGTACGATCAAACGAAGGTATTGTGGGCAACTGGAATCCTCCTTCCTTCTTCGGCGTGATTGTCTCTTTAGATAACTCAACACTTCCAGTTCTTGTATCTGCTGACGGCACCTCTTCCTTTGCTGTATCAATCCGGAATGTGTCTTTCATTCCTTGAACTGTAGGATCAAACGAAGGTATTGTAGGCAACTGAAATTCTCCTCCATTCTTCGGTGTATTTGTCGCTGTTGACGTCTCAACATTTCCAGTTCCTGTATCTGCTGATGGCTGTTGTTTATTTGCTGTATCAATCGTGGATGTGTCTTTGATTCCTTGAATCGTACCATCATTAGAAAATGTGATAGGCAATTGGAATTCTCCTTGGCTTTTTGACGTGGCCGGTTGTTTTGACGGTTTAATACTGGGGATTGCTGTAATTATGGATGGTGCTCGTTTCTCCGTGGCATCAAGATGTAGTGAATCGTCAAATGCTTCGGTAGTTCTCTGCTGGAATTGAGTTGTGCGTAGCGAAAAGCTTCCCTGCTTTTTACGTGTGGAAGTTGTGGTTTTGGATAGCTCCGCTTCTGGCTTTTCATGTTGAGAAACTGACGTCTTTAGATTCATAGTTTCGAGTGCGACTGTTTGTTCGACTATGGGTCTTTGGATGAGTGGTCCTATCGTGCCGTTTAAGGAAAGCGTTGTGGTGAGTTCAGATGCTTCCTCGTTCTTCGTTGCAGGTGATGTGGTATCCTGGGGAATGGCTGCTGCCTTGGCGTTTGAGGAATTGGAAATTACGGATTTCTGATTTTTCCCTTGGTTGTTTTCGTTGATATCTGGAGCCTCTTTGGTTTGATCAATTATGGTCTCTAGTGATGGCATTTTCGGAAGTTGAAATTCTCGTTCTTTGTTCGATGTGGTTGTAGTATGCTTCGGTTGAAGAGTTGCTAGGTCTCCATCGGCTGGTGGGGAGTCTTGTCGTTTCAAGTCCTTGTTTTTCTGCGTTGCATCAAGTTTTAGTGCATCTTTCTTGGCGTCTATGGTTCTGCCAAAGTATAGATTTGATTGTGGTTGAAATCCTGCTGCCTGCTTTGTCGTGTCAGAAGTAGTTTCATGTTGAATTGGTTTTTCATTGGCATTCAAAGAATCTGTTGCGTCTGGCTGTACGTGTACCTCTTGCTTTGTTTCTGGCACATCTTGTTTTTCTTTGATTGTTTTAATGGTTTTCTGAGATGATGGAATATTGGGAAGTTGAAATTCGTTGTTTTCCTGTGTTGAAGTAGTTGGTGCTAGTTGCATGATTGTCTGTATTGCTTGCACCAATGTCGGTTGCTGGCGTTTCGTGGATTCTTCCCGTTTTGGTTCATCGCGCTCTGGTATCTCTTTGAACGCACCTATCATATTGTCAAAAAGTGGAAATGTTCGACAGTGAGATTCTCCGTTATGCTCCAATGTAGAATCTGGTGCTTCCAGTTGAACGGTTACTTCACTCGAATTGAACGATGTGGATGAGTTTTGTCTGTCGTGTTCCGTCGGCTTTAGCTCATTAAGTTCTAGCGAATTTTGAATTTCTTCCTGTAAGAAATCGACGGACTGTGTTTTCGTTGCATAGAAGATTTCTTCGCTCGTCGGTTTAGTTGCTCCTGTATCAGCTTCGAATGACGTATATCTTGCAGTCAAATCACTTGACGAAATGGTTTGCAACTTATCGGTATATGGATGCTGTTTCGATGCACCAAATTTCATCATATCCGCGGCTGTGTCCACTGTAGTATCTAATGAATTTGACGTTGCTTCTTTGGCATTTTGATCTCTCTTCAGCATATTTGGATTTATGGTTGGTTCAGTTTTGTTAAAAGTAGCGCTGAAGGTAGGTATATTCGGTAGCTTTAGTTCTGATGGATTGTTAGATTGTTGTGGATCCATTGTTTGTGTGATAGTTTCCTTCATAGGATGCGTTGGATCTACTTTCGATTGTTTGACGTCTTTATCTTGCTGCAAGTTTTGAGGGATTATGTTTCGTGCAATTGCTTCAACCGTTTTGTTTACAGAACTAATCTCCGGTAATGTGATTTCTTGCTTCTGCTTCGACTGCGAGCTCTCTATCGCATCATTTACTGGTTTCGTCGTATAATCGAAGAGGTATGGTTTTTGTTGCTGCACGTTTTCTTCTTCCTTATGTTCAGAGATGTTAGATGTTTTTCTCAGATTTTTAACGTTAGCATCCCGTGAATTTACTTGAATATTTCGGTTATCTTCGTGTTGCTGACTATTAGGAATTTCATGAAGTTCCTTGAATAATTCTGTTGATGTTTTGAACGGCAGATGTGCCGCTTCTCTGACTCTTTCTTCATTCTTCACCTGAATCTTCTCATGAATTTTATGTTCATTGATTGATTGTGGTATAAGTACCGCATCTTGTTTCGCCGTGTTTTCATTCTTCGATAGAATTACTTGAAGAAGAACAGATTTTGGTGATAGTCGTAAAGAATTTGCTGCAAAAGTAACATATAGTCGACCTAGACCAGCTCTTAATGGAATGAATTTGACGGGAATCGTAGTTGTATTTTGGGGTAGTAGTTGTTTCCTTAAAATTCGAAATTGTTTTTAGTAATAAATGAATATTTGTATTACTTTATCAAAATAGATTTCGATATACCAAAACCATCTATTGTAATGCGTCCGTTACTCAATGAATAGGAAAAAGGATTATTTATTCGAATTTCTAGTTTTGATTGTTCTCCTGCTTCGATAACGTCATGGTCAAGAAGCTGATAAAAATAGAAGAAGCTTCAGTAACATAGTGTTTTTTCTGTCTTACCAGTTGCATTATATTGTCTTCTGTATTTAAGATATATTTTTCTCTTTGATAAATTTGTCCTGTCTCTCTGACGATTACATGTATGTATAATTTCAGTAAACTATCAAAATATCCTAACCATACTTGATGATTTTCTGCTACTTTTATTGGTATATACTTATCTAAAGTTGAACTTAGATACAATGATTGAAGATATATCTAACTCACAATCATTATTATTGAGATGATAGACTTGTGAAAATGATTGAATCGGGGTTTGTGAACTTATATTGTGTGCCTCTAGATTTGCATTGCTAGGAGCATATCGATCTTGATATGATGTCTGATTTAGTGTTTTTAATGTAGATTTGATTTCTTGAATAGGATTAATTTTCACTAATTTGAAGGCCACAGCTATTGTACGATGTTCATTTGATAGATTATTTGTCTTAAGGATTAAATGAAGACTATCACCAAACTGAAAAAATATATTTGTAGAAAGCTATACATAATGGAGAAAACATACTTTCAAGCTGTGAGGAACCTCTATTTCAATATTAACATCATGATTCAAAGCTGTTGGATTTGGTGCTATTTTAAATTAACGATAAAAAAAAGATGAAAATTAAAGAAAATCTGATTTTCGCTTACACTTACATTTGTTTAGTTTGTAATTGCTAGTAATATCTTCATATTTATTTTCTTTTTTCAATGATCTTGTAAGAATTTTTGTGTCAATTACATTTTCTTCAGTATCTATGTAATAAATCAATATAATAGACCATTTAATGTTGACACTTAATAATTAGAAATTACTTAATTGTTGAATAATTCAAGAATAGAAACAACTAATAACTATGTAGACAATCTCTTACAGTCAGATTAATACAACAAACCAACAAATAGACATGTGACAGGTCACAGTTGTAAGAACTGGTTTTTTTGAGAACCGAATCCAATGACTATTTTTTTTTAGAATTTGGTTCGGTGACCATTTCTTTTCATATAGACTGGATTTACTAATAATGATAATGTAGTGACTCTATTCACTACTTATTTCACTTGTCAGAAAACAACTGATTAGTAGTTCCCGTTCTTTTCAAAACAACTAGATGAGTAATACTAACTCAGTTCCTTGATCATGAACTGTCACAGGTCTATCAGCAGACATTAAATTTTTAATATTAATTTATATCAACCACTAGAATAGTATATTTTATATGATAATTATCATTGGTTCAAGAGAAAAATATATGATTAAAGTTAGAAAATCAACTGTCATCAAGTCTAATATTCAACTTGAAATAAATTCTTACTGATGAGTTTTCTATTTCCATTTGGATAAACAAGCCAATAGGTTTTATTCCCATTCAATACACTATAAATATCGGCAGTATTCCATTTTAAACCTAATGTAGCAGATTTTAAGGCTGCTACTGAACATGGACCTGTATGTCGAATATCTAAATAAAAAGAAATTTTTACTTTGAAAGATAATTTACAATTTTTATTTACTCGTATTGTATTCAATGAAAGATGAATCTACTACTTGCCATCCAGAATTATATTCTGGCAAATCATCTCGACCG